TATATATGTATATACACACATGTGTTTATACATATCAACAATGTTATGCCCTGACTCTAATTTTGTAACTTGTTTCTAGAAAATGTTTCAGCACATAAAATAAGTGGGTAGTTGGCGGGTGCTCTGGTGTGGATTGCTTCTTCTTTCCTATCAAACATCTCCCATCCTAATCTCTCCTTCTTTTTTTTTATATGTTACTCTCCTGTAACACATCTATTCTTCGGCACTTATATGACCTTATTGTATTGCAAGTGCCCTAAAACTCTTACTAAAACTAAAAACATAAAATAACAACATATCTGAGAAGAAAGAGAGAAGACAAAAAAAGTCAGCCAACAGTAATATTTGTACTATAATTTCTAGTAAAATGCACACTGACTCCTGATTCAATTTCTTTTTTTTTCAGGACAGACACGTTGATCTCAGCCATGCCTTTGGAACAAAAAACTAAAAGAGTAGTTCTGAGTAGACCTGTTCTATCCAGCTACTCTGTAAAAGCATAACACTAACACCATCAATGTACAGACGTGTATACACACATACATGTACATATAAACACATCCCATGCCAACACACCACCAGGGAATCCAATTTAATGGATTGAGAATAAGGTCCTGATAAAACATATTGTCACTGTTGCAAGCAGTCCACTTATGTTCAAATCTTCAGAATTTTCGATTTTTACACCCTCCAAAAGCTCTATCAAAGATTCTTCTTTCAGCATCACCAAAACGCAGTTTACCCTTATGGTCAAGGCCTACACTTTTCTTGCTTTTCATGATTCTAGGGTTTTTATCTCTGGTGTAAAAAGTACCCAAACAGACTTAAGTAGATTGCTTAAGACACTGATGATACAAGGGAAAACTATATAAAAGATGACCTTGATCCTTAATGGGCCTTGTCATACCCTGAGCTAAATGTGAGTGAGCTTTGGCTGCTAGTGGACAATGAGCAGGATAAGACATTCATTTTTTCAAGGCAAACGCTTTTCAGAATTCATGGTGCGAGACTATGTAGCCCATCAGGGCCTACCTAAGAAATTATCTGAGACGAAATTGTTAACTAATGTGCATGCTAAAAAAGCTTCTATCAAGAGCGACTTACACAGAACAAAATGACATTCACCTTAGTATACAAGGAAGACAAAATTCTGACAACAATATTATTTTCACAAATATTCTGTGGAACAAATACCCGTCTATTTTGAATCAAAAGCCAGGATTTTTGTGATTGAAGGAGGTGAGGGGGTCGCCTGATTTCCGAGGCAAAATTAGCAAGGAATTTTTTTTCGTGCCTTAAATCAACGTTTTTCAGTAAAATCCACACAGAAATGTTTATCCTGAATGGATATTAAATTAAGTCAAGAAACAAAAATTCGATAAAAATTGCCAAACAGATGCAAAATGCCGGTCTCTTCGCTTTCATTATTTCAACGAGTGTCTGATTTCACCACGCAGCCTCACATATGACCATAGATGACATGAACTATGCAATGTAACCTTACTTGTCTGCCCACCCATCTATATCTTTGATCCCCAATAGCATGCCATTGAGCGAGTCATCCATAATTGTATAGAGTTTCATTTAAAATATACATGGAATATATTATCATATATATGTACAAAAAAGCCCAAACAAATCAGACCCGAAATCAAAGTTTGAGGAATCCGCATTAAAGGAGTTTCAGTTTCAAGTTATTTTGACTTTGTGACAAACAAATGTCAAAAAAACCCCCCACCAAACAAACAAAAACCAAACAGCTATGACTGATCCCTACCACTATCGGTATTATGGCAATATTACTCTCCGTAATATGTCGTGTACGTAAGGCTTGGTCAACTTTGGTAAGTGTTGCGGCATTCAACAAGAGATCAACACTGCCTGATAACAGACAAAACACATACATTTGGGATTTCTGTACACAGTCAAAGCCACACACAATTGCATTTTGTACACAGTGAAAACAAAACACAGGTGTTCACAAAGTGTCACAAGAGATTGAAACAATGTGAGTCCCAACACAATGGATTCAGACGCTCGTCAATTTTTGTGCATATGGACTTATTGGTAAATGTTAAAGCCCATTCATTTGCCTTTCGTCCAATGAAAAAAAAACAACAACCCACCTATCTTGAAAAGAAGTCGAGGTGGGGGTCACCTGGTGTCAGGGGTAAAATTAACGAGAAAATGCCTGTGAAAGTTTGGTTACTTCCAAAGCTATAATTTCCTAGGAAACTACAAATTTCCATTATTTCAGTAAAATCCATGCAGGAGTTCATTTTTAAACGGGCCTAAAAGTTGTTGAGCCCAGAATTTAAAAAAAATGAATGAAATCTGCACAACCAGCAGAAAAATGTCAATTTCTTCAATTTGATTATTTTGACGAGCGCCAGGATTCAGTGTGTTCACCAGGATGCCTCACATATTATATAGGCATTCAAAACATTCACAGAAGATTCTATTAAAACCACAAAGTGACGCTCATAATGTTAAGAACAGATTCCATCAATTCACAGATGTGTAATGAAACATTCTGTGCTCACAAAGCAAGTTAAAATAATATGATAAAATAAAGATAGTTACATTCCTGTTCACCGAGAAATATTGATTTTCTGGGTTTAACAGCATCACAGAAGAAGAAATTCCAGTCACCGTTAGATAAATAAGTCATGTCAAGAAAAATAGTAATATCATAAGAAAAATAATGGGAATTGGTGGTATGTGATGGTATGGTAATCTCTTGAAGCCCTAATGCATGTGATGCTATGCAGTCATGACCATAAACCAATATCTATGAGTGTCACAACACATAAATAATGTAATACACACAGTTTAGTCAAATCTTTAAAACATTGCACACAGTTATGAGCAGAGAAATGACTCAAAAAGCATAAAAGACTGAAATGAATCCCTGAAGACAAAGATCAGCACCTTATGAAGAGTTTTATCTCATTCAAGGAGAAATTGTCTCATATCTTTTTTTAAAAGTCTATATGTAAGTGTGAGTGTGTGTGTTTGTGCGTGTGTGTGTGTGTGCGTGCGTGTGTGTGTGTGCGTGTGTGTATGTGTGTGTGTGTGTGTGTGTGTGTGTGTGTGTGTGTGTGTGTGTGTGTGTGCATGAGCATGCACGTTTGTGCGTGCATTTACGAGCGTGTGAGTACAGATTTTATTACTTTGGTATTTGACTTGTTCTTCAATTGCAAACAAATCACAACCATCCAACGATTAATTTAAGTCTGAATAAAAGGTTCCCTCCCCTCCTCCCCCCTTTTCCACCACCCACAACAAAACTTGAATACTGGCACAATTCAATAAATCAACATAAATCAAATTTACTACCATTGATTTATGAACACTATTCTGCTGAAGACTGGATCAAAACTTGAGCGCAATGATCATGTCTATTATCTCAACTCATCAGACTATTAAGTGATCCGGGTAGGGGGCCTCCAAGCTTGGGATTCAAAGAGTCGGTCAGAGACTTTGACTTTTAGGACACCATTTTGGGAAACCACGAATCAGGCACTGTGACAGCATTGTGATGGTAAAAGTAGCTTGAAAATTTTTTACCAGAGCAGTCTCTGCGCTCAAAATTTTATAAATGAGAGATAATAAAAAGAAATGTTTGAAAAAGTCATTTTAGTTTTGGCTTGGAATGCTCTAAATTCAACACCCATTCTCCTGTATGAACACATAAGTGACAATCATCTACAAAGCCAGTGCTTATGGACTGAAAATTAAAAAGCTTTATCTAAAATAACAATGCATTGAGACAGAACTTTTCGGCTAGGCTGACAATCTTTTACACAACCAAGGAGAAATTTCTTTTTTCTGCTAAAATGCACCATCGATGCTTTGGCATCTTCCCTCCCCCCCCCCCCACCCCTATAACTATGATGGCCACCAACCCCGCCCATGAACTTGTTCCACCCTCTGCTTCTCCTCAGGACTGAACTGTAAAATGGTCATCAATGCCTTCATCATCTGTCTCTTGCCTTGCCCATCTGCCGACGAAGTGAGAAACTTGACCATCACATTCTTCAAATACTCCACATTGGCTGACTCCCGGCTGTCCGACCGATCCACCTCCGCCAGTCTCTCCTCCAGGCCACGGATCTCGTGTTTCAGCTGGTCCTCTTTCTGCAGGGACGAAGCCTGAAGATCTCGCAGACTTGTCTCTATTTGACGCTTCTGCTTTCTGAGTCCGTGCATTTCCACCTCCATCCGACCCTTCTCCTGGGCAAAATGGAGGAACGCGGCCTCACTCTGAACACCTTTCGGCAAATTCAGCAGTCGACTGACAGCTTCCAACTCTTCGGAAAATTCACCTTGATGAGCCTCAGAGCCCTCTGTCAGCTGTCCACTCTCACCATATCCAGAACCACTGTGACCGTCATGAGACCACATTCGAAGAGAATCTGGATCAGAAGTCTGGCCACACCGAGCTCGAAGTTCTTGGATTTCAGAATCTTTCTCTGCTAACAGCGCCACCGTCCTCTGCCGCTGTTTCTTGCTCTCCACCTCCAGTTCTCCGATCTGCTTTTGGTTGGCAGCTTTAGACTGTGCTAAGTCCGCTTTTGACTTCTCCTCCTGTGCTAGCAAAGCTTTGCTCAGGTTGTCCATCTTGCTTTGGTACTGTGCAACTTCTTCCTGGAAAGCATGCAATCAACATTAGTGAGATGTTCACCAATATTCATTTTGAGTTTAAAAAAATTATCTCTGCATGCTTGATTTATCTATAAAAAAAAAAAAAAGCCACCAGGCCAGGTTTCTTCTAACTGAATGAAAATTTAATGACACTGATCAATTTTTACAATAAAATAACTGAAATCTAGTGTTGTAAGATCCACATTAAAGAAGTAAATTTTCCCGCTATTTAGCACCTAGAATCACATAGTTCTAAAGAGTTCAAGGTTTCCCATTCCTTTTCAACAGTACATTTTGTGGCTTGAATTCACAAGATAACCTGTGCTGAGTGCTTTAGAAAGATTATAAAGAAGACATCATTTGGAAGCTTAAACGTATCTGACTGTTCATGTTGACATTATCTTTCTTCAAAGACACAGTAAAGAGACAAGGTACAAGAGTTAGTAGAAGTCTAGTTCCTGATGCTCACTTGGTGATGGAAATTGCTCATACGCAGCTTGTCCCTCAGTTCTGTCACCTGCTCTTTCAATATCTCGGTCTCACGGGATGGGCCACTCTCCTGGAACACAAGAAATGATCATGAACCATTTACACTACATTTTTTATAAAGTCGTTGGTGAAACATTTTATATTTAGCACACTATCAACAAAAAAAGGAGATTAGGGCAACAAAAATTGTCAGTCACAGATTAGTAACCTCAAGGTTCATTTGAGTAGAGGAAACTCAAACTCACTCTCTCAAGTTTCTATGCTGAAGGCAGAAAAGAAAACGAGCCCTGAAAATGTTCACAGATTGATGAACAATGAAAAATGTATCTTTCTTTAATTGTTTGTGCGCAACATCTTCTAAAATTGAATATCATAAATGCTAGAAACAAGTTCACATTTTCAGGATAATCCTTGTTAGTACAGTCAGCAAAAACACAAGCTAGGCTGTAAGTATACCCTATGAGACAGCATGTTTGTTATTGATTACACTTCATATACACACAGAATATTTCACAACTCAAGTCAAATTAGATAAATGATAAATACTTTTAACAGAGACATATATATCTTTACATATACAAACTTATAAAAAGCTTTGCAAACGTCATTTAAATTCTTTAACTACCCTCAAGCAAGACCCCACTCATAAAACAGAGAAGACATCTACTCTACCTTGTTCTTGTTCTTGAGGACAGACTGAGCCCGCAGCTTGTACCTCTCAAACTCCTCTTTCATCAGCTCCAGCTCCTCCTTGTACTGTTTGCACAGTGGGGACTCTTCGTCTGCCTTGTTCCTGTCCTCCACAAAGATGGCTGGGGAGGTCGCAGACGAATTTATTGATTTTACTTTTTCTACGTTAGTTACAGAATAATTTGCATCTTTTTTTTGGTACAGTTTCCATAAAGCTGGAGTAAAATTGTAAGTTACTGAGACAAAAATTGTTCAGTTCAAAATCTTTAACATAAATAAATAAATAAGTAAATAAATAAAAGATTATTTTATTGACCCCCGTAGGGAATTTTGGGTTACAAAGGCAAACATACATATATACATAATTAGAAATGCATACATACATAAATACACATAAATACACAATATTACATCAACTCAGAATGATTTCACAAACATGCCATTGCTGGTTGCCACTGTGCAGCATCTGGTGAAACTATACAGGACAATAGCACTATGTTCATATCTTTACCTCAAAAACAATATGTTTGAAGTTCACATTCTCCTTGTTTTAAACAGATAAAATAGCAATTAATAAGATCACATATCAATGACCAACTCGCTACTTACTTGACAGGTTAATAGCATTTTCTGACTTCCCCAAGGCAGACTTGAGAACAGAGCGAAGGCTCATGATCTTTTCGAGAATTTTCTCTGGTTCTTGCCTCTCCTCCTCATCCTCTGGTTTCTCTGGGCTGAGGCTGGCTGCGCGGGCCAGGGCTGAGTTCTCCATGTCCAGCTGACTCACACGCTCTCGCAGTTTGCTACAAACAATGGGAACATAATTGAACACCAAAATTAAAATCTTAGACTATAATGCACTAGTGAAATGATAAGGTGATTTTTAAAAAAAACACCTCTGCGTAGATGTTTTAGGCTTTGATTGAAAGAATGTAGATCTTTCAGGAGGCGGGATGAGGTAATTCATACACAAGGAAGTGTGCCAGCACAACAGTCAAACTGAGAGATAAGTATAAGGAGCACAACTTACCAAAGAATTTCGCCAGGAAGAATTTGTTATGAGTCTGTAGGTCTCTTTCTAAGAAAACCACCTCAACACATCGCATAATAATCATCCTGCATCCACGAGTATTTTTCAATTACCAGCAAACGTTTAAGAAGGTTTTGAAATAAAGAGAAAGTGCTGAGACAGCAATAAAATATAGATTTTTAAAAAGCTAACAGTTGAAAAAAAAATTGATGAAGAGACATGATGCTATCTAAATACCCACTTAATTGGACAAACCCCTGATCCTAATGAATGAGAAGTGCTACCCACTTTTTTGGCTTTAGAAAAAACACAACCCCCCCAAAAAACAACAACAACAAAACAACCAAACTCACAGCTGCAAAACAAAAATGTAAAAAATTACAACAGAGTTGGTAGTACAAGAGCATGTAAATAGAATGAAGATAAACATACACAAGATTTGCTTGTTTGAGTGTAAAGAGGTAAATCAATATAAAAACGGTCAGCCCATCTTAGGAAAGAGGACTACTGATAGAGCTATAATTACTTGACCTCTAACAACAACATAATACAGAACATTCTAGTCTGACACGTATAAACTCTTATCGTACATGTCAAAACATGGTTGATAGGAGGGTGCCACTGGTAGGTCCTACCATTTTTTTTACATTTCCTTTTTTGTTTTTGTCTACCTTGCCTTTTCCCAGCACTAAATGACCCTTATCGTGTCAGTAGTGTGCTTCCCTCTAACATGCACACACAAAACCCTGCAGGCGCACGCTGACAAAACGCCTTTTTCTTACTCACAGCAGTTTCAAAATAAACAGACGCATTGTCAGCATAACCCTTTAATAAAGCCGCTCATCCTAAATTTGACTTCTAATTTATTCAAACACAGGTCATATTTTCACTTTGTGATTTTTTTATACAAATACAGTAACTGATTAGGCCATCGATTAAGCAAATTTTGAAAAATTTTGCACCAAATTTATTTTTTTAAAGGCATTTTGTCAGCTCAGAGCAAACTGGCTCACCTGATGGCTTGCTGATCTTGAAACCTGAGCCTCTCGTAGTTCCCCACCACTTGAGACAGTTCTGAGAGCTTCGCCTCCAGCGACGACACCCTCTCCTCGCTCTGCTTCGACTGAGTCCTGAGCCTGGCCTCAGCCTCCACAGCCTTCTGCTGCTCCTTCTCCACCTGGTGCTGATAGTCGCTCTGTGGAGTTTTTGGTTAGTGTTTTACAGCGCTGGCAACTACATGCCATAAGGTCATTGAGCATGCGGGACACAATAAACTTTTTTAGTTTTTGGCAGGAGTTAATTTTGAATTTTGCGTGGGTGGCGACCAAAGCCTACTCTTATTGATTTTGGACCACCAGGGGATCTTTAAAGAGCCCAACTTGCTTACAATCAAAGTTGAAGACAATGTTTTTCAGGAAATTATATTTATAAAACTGGGAACTTTATATCTAAAATATCTGGGGGGGGGGGGGTATTTTTTTAAATGCATGTCGTAGTGGTACTGGGCTTCAGAGCTTTTGTGTGTGTGTGTGTGTATGTGTGTGTGTGTGTGTGTGTGTATGTGTGTGTGTGTGTGTGTGTGTGTGTGTGTGTGTATGTGTGTGTGTGTGTGTGTGTGTGTGTGTGTGTGTGTGTGTGTGTGTGTGTGTGTGTGTATGTGTGTGTGTGTGTGTGTGTGTGTGTGTGTGTGTGTGTGTGTGTGTGTGTGTGTGTGTGTGTGCATGTTTGTGTGTGTGTGTGTGTGTCCCATGGATATTTGTATCCTACTGAGTCAGGGAGAACCCTAACAGGTAGGGCTGTTGAAGCATCCCACCTCCTAAATGATCTCAACTGTGTCATGTGGGGTGTGAAACATTTACAGTCAACATAAATTAAACACAACACTTTTCACGATTGCCCTTCTCATAAGCACATTACCAAAACATCTGCTTGAAGGATTGACAGAGTCCCAAAGCTGGCAAAATATTTATCCACCAGGCCCTGTTCTCTGAACACTGAGAATATTGCAATCTGAGGCCCCTTTTATGAGGCTATAATGTGTCCCGATATTGTCTGGGAGAAGCATTATGTATCAAACTTTTTTCCTTTATCCCAAAACAAAGTGAAATGCACAGTGTTAACTATAACGCTGCAAGCATGAATGATTACTGATATATCACTGATGTCAATTAAGGATTTATATGTTATCTTTTTTGTTTTCAATTTGGAAATATGTATGTGCAATATAGCACAATAACTGAAATTTTGATTTAAAAATAACAACTTTGATGGCTTTCAGATACTTTGGACTGCCTTCTCCATTTTATTAGCACAATATGAAAACACATTATCCTATTTTTTTTTTAAAGTAAAAAAAACCCCAAACATTCATTCTTGACAATAAGGACAGACCTTCATACTGCCCATCTCCTTCTGGAGCTCGAGAACAAAAGGTGAAGGCTGGTTGGCCTTGACCTCTGCAGACTTGAGCCGATCTCGAAGCATCTTCAGCTCGTTCTGTAACTCCTGGATCTGACGTTCGTACACCTCAGAGACAGGAGGTTCTTGCTGAACCTTTTCTTGACTCTCCTTCAGATTCTTCTGAGCTTCTTCAAGCTGAGGAGGGAATTTAGATTTAAGAATTTCGACTAGTCTTAGATTAGGAGAATGGTAAGACACAAAGAAAAGATGTAAAAGAAACAAGATTGAAATAAAAACCCAAAAACAAAACACCAGAAACAAGATTTATGTTGAAATCATCATGTCACTCTCACCCCCCACCCACAACCTGCTGAGAGAAAGGATTTCAGGAAGGACAGCAAAATTATTTTGTCTTACACAGGCTTGAACTAAGTTTTTCTGGACATCAATCAGTCAAATAAAAAATTAACTGCTCAACAACAAACATCCCTTTCATTTAATATCCCTCACAGCTGAACGTGGCCATTTAAAAAAACAAAATAACCTGAGATTCTGATGAAGAAATAAATGCTCCTCACCTGAGTTTCGAGAGCATCTTTGACGATTCTCTCCGTGGAGAGTAAAGTCTGAAGCTCACGCAGCATCAAGGCATGGTCTGTCTGCTCCCTCTCTCGTTCCAGTTGCTGGGTACGGATACGACTCTTCAGCTGGGGAAGCAAAAGTAAAATGAGCAAAATACAATATAACTTAACTTTGACACAAGTGACACACGTGTGAAAATTTAGTCCATCAGCAAATCCCCCCAACAGAGGAAAAAAAACTGAGTTCAACACTTGACTCACTCAAAGATATCCTTTCTAAGTTTTTCAAAATCACTAAACACATTCATATCATTAATACACCTATACTATTTTCTTTCAGGCTGGATTCTTTGATTTAGTTCATTGAAAAACAAAAAAAAAGTCCAAAGAGGCTGATTCCAAGAGAGGTCTGGATTATTACCATCATCCTCCCAAGAACCTTTTCCTCCAAGCCGGCCATTTGACAGATTTTTTTTTTTTTGAGGATGGATATCATCCACTTAGGTTAAGACCTCATCAGCTTCATGCGGTATCCAACCCGCTCTCGAGTCGGAACAAGGCTGAGAAAAGTCGGGAACACATACTATAATTTGACCTTAGTCAAAAGGCAGAGAAGCTGAGAGCTTTATCTTAAATAAATCATCAAGTTTTGTGTCTAGCAGAAAAGGGAACTTGGCGCTTTGCCTAAACTTTACCAGCCTCATCCTCCAAAATGAACAACACACTATTTCAGAAACCATTGCATTAACAAACTAATAGCTCTTATTTTCTCACAATAAAGAGTACCCTGGACTTACATCAGAGATCTGTAGTTCAAAACCCTCGGCTTGGGTCCCTGTCCTCTTCCTCTCCTCAGTCAGCTTGCTCTGTAGATCGTCATTCTCTGACTGATGAGAAGGAAAAAAAATATACAATGAGAACAACTAGTACATTATGTTGTATACAGGGAATCATTTGTCATAAGGTTCTACTTGTGTTACCACCAGCAGTATGGCCATCAAGTTGAAAGATATTTATTTAAAAGAAATAAAATACCAAAATATTTGATACCTGCTCATAGCTTTCATTTGAGGTTAATCTACCTTCGTGTAGAGGAGGATGGGAGCAGAAAATAAAAAATATCAGAGGTGATCTAATAAAGTCATGAAATCAGTTAACTTTAAAGTGTCGTGACACATTGTTCTAATTAGCTTCAAACTTGAGCTGGGCGGTAACGGCAAATTTGAGTTTTGATACGCAACTGGAACTGGCTGTGTGATATTTACAAGGAATGACTCATGAACTATTCATTCTCTCAGATAGGACCTGCAGGACAGATTCTGAAAGATTTCTGAAGAGAGTAGAGCATGGGTCTATTATTGCAACAAGTAAAGCTGTACCAAATGAATAAACTACATCCAGACAAAAAAACAACAAAGGAGACTTGATCGCTTTTCTCTAGGAGGCCACTTTTTTCTTTTGGACTTCTCCAGAATGTCACACATATCCCTGCCATCTTTATTATAGGAAACTCTTCCCTTGACTCAAAAATGTACTTCAAACCAACACAAAAGAGCACAGGCCTCAGCTTTCCCCACAAAGAACAGGCAAATATTAGACACCTACACAACTGAGATAAGAGGAGAATGTACAATTAGCAAGAGAATTTCATGAAACTGTTGTGGGCATCAACACACTGAACATAAACGGTGTAACCAAATGGGTTTCGCTGAGAGGAACTTCACTCTACCAGAGATGCAGTCTATAATATTATTATAAATAAATACAACTTAAGCTAAAGAAAATTCCAAATAAATTTGAGTAACCATTCGTAGTAGAGGTATAAGATTGAAAAAGTCATAGCTCAACTTACACGAAGCTGCTTTTTATCTGCAATAAAATTTGCTTCAAGCTTGTTCTTCTCTTGTGTTAAAGTCGTCAGAGCAGAGCTGAGTGTACGTATCTGCTCACGGAGGGAGCCAGCTTCATCTTTGCCTTCCTGTATTGGAGCACCAAGAATAACAACAGGTTAACAATGGAGATACATTCTTCACTGCACATTGTTCTTAATCACAAGTGAGGAGACAGTGGTGGCCACAGCGGACCCACGGACAGGAAGACTGACAGACAGAGAAAACTGACAGCTTGGTAAGATTTTTGTAAAAGTTGAGGAGGAGAGATAAGGACAATAGATATTTGATAGGAAAGAAGGAGCAAACCACATCAGAACACCCATCAACCACCCGCTCAGACAAATAGAGGGTCAAAAACCGAAAAGGAAGATGACATAGATGGCTATATGAATACAAACAAATAAACAGCATGAGCAATGAGGTTTGTTAACAGTCTCTGACTCAACGTGAATGTTATCAGCTCATCATACGGCACAAAAAGTTATTATCTAGTTCTGAAAGCAGATATGACTGTAAGGACAAGATGCATGTATTCTTTTATACCCCTTTACAAGAGAAACTTAGTTTTCTCATGAAATTAACACTTTGAAGGTGCTGACCTTAGGGCAATGACACATGGGCACACATACTTCCAAGTGAAAATAAAATGAACATCCCAAGAAAATTGTAATCGTAGCATTTAGAACAGTATCGCTGAGAGGTAGGTACATGCACATAAAATGCGGCACATCTTTGTTAGGTGTTAGGGGAACTGAGGAGTTGCATAGGAAAGTGTTGGTAAGTTAAGGGGGTGAAAAATGACCAAACATGAAAATTACACAAAAGGATGTAACTGTTCCTGTATTTTTAACCATTCTCATGCAGGACACATCAATTACAACTCTAAAGTGTTTGAACATAATTTCATTAACCAGCACTGTGTTTTTACTGAAAAATAGACAGCAAATTATAAAAAAAACAAGCTCTGCCTATCAAAAGTACATAATACAGATCTAAAAAGCTAGCCATAAAGGTTTTGGAAATCAAAACTCATTTGAAACACATTCAACCAGTACACTGACCTGTTTATTCACCCCTAGGGGATCAGGAGGTCCACTGTTCTCTATCTCCACCTCTCCAGCCACATCATCCTGAACCTCTGCACTGGCCTCAGCTTCAGCCTGGCGTGAGGTGCTCAGTGCACTAAGGCTAGATTCCAAAGCCTCCTTCTCCTTTACAACACTTTTGTATGCAGCGACAACATCTTGAAGGGACAAAAAAACAGTCAGCAATATTTTCTACATGGTATTATATTTCTTGCAAGAAATGAAATGAAAAGAATGAAACTTAAAATACAAACAAAACAATGCAAAATGCTTGGTAACGGCATATATCACAGTTCTATTATGGGAGAAATTTTTAAGTGTTACACTTTCCACTGGCAAACATTCTGCAATATCATCATATATATGTAAAGGTTTCTATAAAGGAAATTACCATCAACATTTGATTATAGAGCACATGATATAACAAAAAAGAACAGACTCAGAAAAATTATGAGCCATTGCCAAATCACTATATTTTTCCTTAGATTAGAATGGTAGGAGAATGTTTTTAAAAGTAGCCTCTAAAACTGTTGGAATTTATTTTTTTCCTTTCGTACTGAAAGAAAAACTTGCAAAGCTTCATTTTAAAAAGACAATTATTTATATATTTATATGAGTAGTGGATATCGTAACAATAAATAAGCAGCCTCTTTCCTATATTTGACCATAATGGTATTCAATGTAAAAGCAGTTCCACTAAAACGTTGAAATACCTCTAAGTTTAAATTTGTAGTGTTGCAACTGGTCTCTCTGTGAGTTTACAGTATTGATGAGCTCTGCCCGAGATGCCCTTTCCATCCTGATGAAGAAAAGAAGACAAAAGTAAAAGTCTCGTGTATAGACTTGTACTAACCATATAAATATTTCCCGTATGGTATAATTTTTTCTAGCAATTAGATACTGTACCACATTAATTCATTATAGTTCTTAATTTGAAAAACTTTTCCTCAAAAGAAGAAATTAAAGCTACCTGCAAGAAAATAAGATGCACCTGCAAAGACCTGTAAACAGAAAAACGACACCCATTGCTTCATCAAATTCAGGTGAGACAGGATAACGGCTGTACAGGATAGGTGGATTTAATTTTTTTTAAATTCACCAATAGTTAATCTGCACAGGTCATAAGATATTCACTCAAACTGCCAATGGACGTCAGTCATTCCCCAACAGATACCATGATACACACAGGAATTATGAGAGAGAAAAAAGCAAGAAAAACTAAATCTACAAAACAATGAAAATGAGAATTAACAATAATGTTTAATACCCCCCATCTCCCCCCCCCCCCCCCCCCGAAGAACAGAAAGTTGAAAAATAGTCAGAAGCAGAAGATAGACTAACAATTTTCCAGAAGCAGAAGCTGCTTGCCACTCCACTGATATTTATTGCCATTTGAGTGGTTAAAATATCATATTATCAGCCACAGACTAGAGAAAAACCTTGAAATTCCCAGAAATCAAGCTCATTCAAGAAACATTTCATTCAAGATGCTTGATCTAATAAAGGTTAATATTGAAATTTGTTCGTTATTAATTATCAGTAATCATTCAATGTATTATTAGTTCATCACGTGATGATACCGCACTGTGTACAATACAGTATTTCAGGCTAATAGCATGCACCTTGAGAAAAACTCTATGCGAGCATGCTAATTATTAATAAGTGAATTTCAAAGGGGAGCAATCGAAAGTTAGTTTAGTGAGTATTCTGTTAAATTTCATTGATTGTTATGAACCACCACACATGAATATCCTGCAGTCACTTGAGCCAATAATAAAATTTGAGCTCATCCTAAGGTGAACAAAGCTTTCCTATGCTTAGCAACCACAGACAATGAAAAGCACTGAGTCCTCTCACATTGTCCGCCCGCCATGCATGGCCAGTTACTGGCTTTCTTCCTCATTGCATAATTCTGTCTCATACGAGATCTCAATACATGCATGGAATGTCATTTTCTCCCTGGCAAAGCTGCAACAATTTCAAGTAAAATTATGGAGGAGAGCATGCAGTGTTTGCTTCACTTTTTTCAGTTCCAAACTAAAGGGGTAATTTCATAGTGGTTGATCCTGTTTCTGATATTAACGCAGTCAGGAATGATATGATCATGCTATTAGATCGAATAGATGGGTTGAAACATGCAATTATTTCAAATATCAAGTGATAATTAACACCTTGCAGCTGAACATATAATGCACCCCACATGCTGAGGAAAATTCTACCACGTACAAGGTGTCAAAGGTCACCCCCACATGCTGAGGAAAATTCTACCACGCACAAGATGTCAAAGGTCACAATCTTTAATCGACAGTTGGTTGCTCGTTTATTATTTAAGATAAGAGATAGAGGATTGAAATAATTAAAATCCCTATAAAAAGAGAAATAAAGAGATGAATTCATCAATTGACAACACCTGCATTGAACAAGCAGTGACAAAAGCCATTATTGATATACAGTTTGTGAGTAATGACGTAAAATACTTGAAAGTACTGAGACTGATCAAGCACTCCAATTCTATGTTCACTGACTCTAGCTCGCATGGTGAGCGTGAGAAAGGCAACACACCTCACTCTGTTTTCGGACCTGTGCTTCCCGTAAAAAATATAGGCCTAGAATGTATTATAGGCCTACATATCATACATTATATATACATATGACCTAATAACGAAAAAGCTTTCAGGGGATGTCACTTTCTTTATTTTAAAACTTAATAGTTTTTTAAAGCTGAAGTATCAATTTTAACACAGGTTTTCCATATATATATATTTATATATATATATGTACAGTATTCAGTGCAATAGGCAACAGATTATAATCGAGGAGTATTTGCCAATGGCGTATATGAGAGTCATATATGACGTTATGAAACCTGGCATGCTATTAGCCTGACATCACTGCACTTCAACGAAGTGACTAAAACTTTTCTCCCAACGCTCGGGAAAATAAACTTGACCTTTATTTCTCAGAACGGTTTTCGTTCTTGAGATTTTTTTTTTATTTGCGAGATTGAAGTGTTAACTTTCATTTTGCCATTCTGCGAGAACTGGGAAGAAGAAATTTTGGCGTCGAATTCAATTCAATTCCCTTCCAACTTCCAACCCTTGTTCCTAAATATTTCCAGCATTTATTTATTTTTTTTTTCTATTATAATGATAACAATCGAGACATTAGCTCTAAACTGGCCCTCCCTGGATCATTAGTAAAATGAACAGAACAAGTAAGTTGAGTTGACCTTGCCGGGGGGCAAAGTTAATTAGGTCGACCAATGAGATTGTGCGTAACGATATCGCACTCTCGGCTTGCTGTGGGAAGAGGTGTTGGGAAGAGGCCATGGCTGTCTATTTTGAGTGATGTGATTTTTTAAACAAAATTAATAATTACAAAAAAACTATTATAACACACACACAAAAAAAGAAATTAAACATGTGGAAAGACAAATGGTGGTGGAAGTAATGATGATGCTGTAGTGGTGGTGGACAGACCATGAGTTGTCAGTTACCACGTACTTACACACTGCCAAAGGGTAGATCTAATGAGAGTGCAGTCTTTTTACTTTTGACACAATTACACAGTCCTTGTTGGCAATTTTAGTTCTAATTCTGGTTTTACTTAAAATCCCTCGACGACAGTTATATTGTGTATTATGTAACCTCCTTACACTCACATAACTCACTTAGAAGCTGAGTCTGAATAAATTGACTTTTTTTTTAGGACCCAAGTCAAAGTCGGAATAGATAAAACCCATAAGGCCCTATTCAGACACGAGCCCCCCTGAAACTCCCCTTGCCTTATTAAAAACAAGAGAAATTTTATAGCTCATTTTGTAGGCTAGATCTAGATATTATCTAGTTCTACTGATAAAATATCTAAATCAGTATCAGTATCAATATTCCAGTACTCTGTGTGGATGATGCCAAGTCTAAACAGATGGGACCCAGATTCTTAACTCTTAAGTTGTACAATGTAGATCTAGATATAATATGATATATATAGAGAATCTAGTTAGACAAGACCACAACAGCAAAAACCAATCACATTAGAAAATCTAGATCTAGAATCTAATCACAAACAGTAAACTTACAAACAAATCATGTTTCAAATAAGAATTTTATTAGAATAATATCTAATTCTAATAATAAAAGAGGGAGTGTCTACATACACGGTTACGGGGCACCTAGCCTCAGTGTCTACGTACACGGTAACCTGGCACGTAGTCTCAGTGTCAAGTGTCATATGTACACTCACTGTAACTGTAACCGGGCTATTCAGAACTCCAAGTTCAGTTTTTGTCATCCGGTGTTGCCTTCAACCCCAGCCCTCTCCTGACTGTACCTTTTTAAAAAATCAATAAATAATCCCCCCTTTCCAGAGCCCTATACTTCGCAGCCCACAGACTTTGAATGAACTTTGGTTACCCCAACCGGTACTCACAATGCGATGCGAAAGCACAGGTTCACTGAGTGGTCACGATGGCGAGCCTGACAAGACGCTTGTACATAGATCTATGACTTTCTTTTTTTTCAACAAGTGACAGCACAGGACAAATATATTGATTTATTTTCATTCCGATTACCGAGTACGTAGATACTGAGACTAGGTGCCCGGTAACCGTGTATGTAGACACATGCATATATATAAAAACTAGGGTGATCTTATATTTTAACTTTAGCACGTTAAATTCCCAAGTCTACTCTAGAAGAATAAGTCTAGATCTAGACTCTAGATCTAGATTCTAATCCCTGACTCAGACCTTCAAACTTTGAACTGGGCCTAAAAATGCGCAAACTACCTTAATTTTGTCATGAACAGATGGTAGTGGTAGTGGTTCTCAGTCTTCCATCATGATTTTTTTGGAAGCCATTGAGTAGAGGCTAATCTAGATTTAATAGTGGTCGCTCGTTACGCAAGTCCTCAATTGATTCTAATTTAACGCGCTAAAGTATAAGATCACCGTTTTGGTGAATCTAGATCTAGATCTAGATCTAGATTAGATCTAGAGTCTAGATATAGATTATAGATATATCTAGATCTATAATCTAGATCTATACTAGTATAGATCTAGAATCTAGAGATCTAGATTCTAGATTAGATTTCTCTCGATCTACCTTGAGCCACGATACGATTCTGCCTTGCCTTAAAAGCACATGACTGAAGAAGTAACTAAAAGATGTAACAAGCTGACAGTCATCAGTTCATCCCTTTCTAGTCGTTGTTGTGAAAGGGGCCCATTGAAGAGAGGAGAATAGCCTGAGTTGGTACGTCAACCACTTATTTTATTTCCTGGTGGCAGAGTGAATGCCCTTGGTTGAATGTAAAACTTGTACCAGCTGAGCCAGTTTCTTGTTTCCACAGCTGATTGTCAGCATGACCTACTTCACCGCCTCTTCATTAGCCTAGAGATAAAAGATCTCTCCACCGACTCATTGTCAGTTGTCAGCAGCAGCTGCTGAGCATGGTTGGTTATAGTTTTGATGAGAGTCAGTTCTGACCGTTGTGGAAACGCAGCAGGGTAGCCTATCCCCGCAGCAGTCACACTCCAGTGATGTCAGCAGTGTAGAAAAGTTGTAACATTAGACATTAGATAAAAGGGTTGGTCGTTCAGTGTTCAGTTAGAGAATCTCTTAGACTAGATCTAGTTAAAAAGTCGTACTGCTCTTCCTAAGGTTACATTCGGAATAGAATCATCGGATCGACAACAACAAAAAGAGACGAGCGAACAGTCTGACAGGCACTGCTGACTTTAAACTTTAAGTGAGTGATTGTACTTTCAAAACTAGATCTAGATATAGATCTAGATTCTAAATCTAGATTTCTAGATCTAGATATAGATCTAGATCTAAATCTAGAGATTCTAGATCATGTATTAGATCTAGAATCTAATCTAGATTCTAGATCTATATCTAGATCTAGATCTAGATCTAGATCTAGATATTTAGATTAGATTGATCTGAATCTACATCTGGATGATGATAGAGATCTAGAATCTAGATTCTAGATGTAGATCTAGATCTAGATCTAGATTCTAGATCTAGGTGTCATCTTTCATTCTGCCATTCTACGAGGACTTTTCTGTTCTTCGATTTCTGTGATTTTTCTCCAGGTTCCACAGTCTTCCCCTTGATCTCTTACCCTGTGGATTCCAATCCAAAACTTTCTTTGTTATGCGGCTGCCTGACTTCTTGAGAGTATTCCTATCAGTCGCCACCGCATTCTTCCTACCTCAACTCGTCTCTGACTGGGGTCTGTCTTGTTTCCTTTTAACACTTCCTCATCGGTGACCCTGTCTGTCCATCTTATCCTCAGTGACTTTCTTAGAGACACCTGTTCACGAAAACCTGGATCCTCTTTATGCAAGTCTGTGATGCGTTCCATGTCTCACATCCATACAACATGACCGACTTCACATTTGAATTTAAAGTCCTCAGTTTAACTGCTTTGTTCGAAGTGAGATATCTCTAGTCTTCCAAATCCTATCCAAAGATATGAAAGCAGCCTGTGCTTTTCTAATGCGGGACTTTATTTTATTTCAGCACCTGTTCCTCCCTTTCTGTCAATTATACTCCCAAGATAGCAAAAGAATTCAACGTCTTCTAGTGCATTTCCTTCTATTGTGACGTGCTCCTTTCATTGTGCATCTCTGTCCTTAGGACCTTTGACTTTCCGGGGTGGATCCTCAATCCAACAGACTCCGATAGACTATTTCATACTGAAGTCTTTGTTTGCATCTTCTGTTCCTGGGTGTGCGACAGAAGCGCCTAGTTGTCTGCAAAATCCAGATTGTCCAACTGTGTCCATGGTGTACAGTGTATACCATTTCTGTGTCCTCTGGTGGTTTCCTTCATCAGCTAGTCAACTGCTAATATAGAGGAAAGATGATAGTAAACATCCCTGTCTCACACCAGTCTTGATGCCAAAGCTGTCAGTGAGCTGCAACTTGTCCCTTCGTACACATGATGCTCTTGATGAGGTTCACCAACTTCTGTGGCATTCCATTGTGTCTCACTATCTGTCCATAGTGTTGCTTGGTCCTATACTGTCAAAGTCAAAAGGCCTTCTCATAGTCAAAGAAGTTGACGATCAGCTGGGAGTTCCACTCCAGGGACTGTTCCACAATAATCCTCAGCGGGGCAATCTGGTCGGTGGTTGAGCGATTTTTCCGGAAACCAGCTTGTTCATGCCGTATTCTTGGATCCGTTGCTGTCTTGATTCTCTCCAGAATGATTCTGTTGAAGACCTTACCTGGTATTGAGAGAAGTGTGATCCTTCTGTAGTAGTTGCTACAGTTGCTGAGATCCCCCTTTTTTTTTTGAAAGCTTCACGAGGTGTCCTTTCCAATCCTTTGGGAACTTGCTCTCATTCCAGATCCTGGGTAAACAGTGGGAGGAGGTCTGCCGTCACATTGGCATATATATATATCTATCTGCTTTTACTTTTAGGGCTTCAGGTGGAATCTGATCAGGGCCGGCTGCTTTACCTTTGTTCAGCTTCTTAATGGCATCCAGAATCTCTTGTTTTGAAGGAGCATCAGTGTAGATTGGTAACTTATTTCTTGCTAGCAGGATGTTTGCGGGTTACTCAGTGGTGGTCTGTTCAGGACAATGTTGAAATGCTCTACCCATCGTTTAGACTGAGCTTCCTTTCCAAATCCTTGTCTTCATCCCAAGCATCATTTGTTGCCCATCGTTTAGACTGAGCTTCCTTTCCAAATCCTTGTCTTCATCCCAAGCATCATTTGTTGTGGCATAGATTTGGACTATATTCATGTTGATGCTCTTGCTCCTTGTGGTGAATGAGACCATGAAGATCCTCTCCGCGTGTGGTTCCCATCCTCTAAGTGACTTCTGCGCATACTTACTCAAAATGATTCCCACTCCTTCCGCATGGTGCTTGTCTTCCCTCCCACAATACAACACTTGTTCCCCCGAGCTGAGCTGCTTCTGTCCAGACTGTATCCAGTGTGTTTCACTGACTCTTAGGCAACCTGTTTCTCTTCATCTCTTGTACTACTTGAGAACTCTTTCATGCTTCATACAAGGTGCGAACATTCCACGACGCAATCCGGAGACTTGTTCGATAGAGAAGGTTTCGGGTCAGGAGAGTATAATATTAATATCACATATTAAATATGGGCATTTTAATTGTACTGGGCTGGATGGAGCCTGGCTCTCCTAAAAACTAGATAAAAGAGTAAACAAAAAAGAAAAAGCTAAAGCATCTTATTTCCTTTTCCTTTGTATACTTTTTGTACTCTAAATTTATAAAACATAATCTATTACTACTACTATACATTCACCTTTCGGGAGGAATTCCGTACAAGTGACCACAAATTAGTTTATGATGGAACTCAAATTCAACTGAAGGAGATAGATTCCCAGGGTTTTTTTTCTTTAGTAAAAAAAAGGCTGCCATTATTCCCACCCCCTTGAGGGGATTTAAAAATATTTTACTCCATTTTTTGACAAGGTGTATGTGTTCTTGTGTGCATGATTTAGTTTTACTTTCTTTCATATTTTGGCCTTTTTCTTTGCTTTCAATGAGATTGATTTGATATAATAGCAGAAAGCATTCAAAAGCTAAAAGTAAAAGTGACATTTTTCCCCTTAGCATTAGCACTCTCGTTTGAGTGTGCTCAATATTTTCAGACCCAGCATTAAGTTGAAGAGCCGAACTTGATCTACACTTAGGCAAGATCTGCTAGTTATGGGTCTAATTCTCACCCCAGGTGTAGAGATCGGCCTTCAGCCTGTATTACATAAAACATCTAGAATCTAATTCTAGATCTAGAGTCTAGATAGACAGGAAAGATGGCAAGTGACCCGACGGGGGTGGGAATTTAAAAAAAATTATTCCCACCGTGTGTAGGAAATCTCACTTCCTTAGTAAAATCAACGAAATTACTCAGATTCAACAAATATATATAACTGAGCCAACTCAGGTTCAACAAAGTCTCAATGAACCTTAACTCTATTATTCCAACAGAAAACCAGTCGCACTTGCATCGTGGATCATCACCCATTTAGCGTACATCATGTGTTTGATCATATGCCTACTTTCACACCAACACGTGCATTGTTGATGACGTGTCTTTGTGTGTATCAGGGTCAGGAGAGGTCGGTTAGGTGGCTGTAAGTGTAAGTGTGTGTGTCTCAGGGGATTGGGGAGGGGGCGTTGACTCAAATTACGCATTTTGGGCGTGGAAAGTCGGCAGAGATACACAAATGTGTCATAATTATATTCCGCACGACCCCCCTTCCCACTGGCTACTGAACAATGAAAGGCTAGTATCTAGACAATGATATATATATATATATATACATGTAATGAATAACACGCTGGTCTGTGGAAACAGATGTTTCCGTATGCTCTACTGCTAAGCCCTACGTTGTGACACTATAATGAAAACTCGGATTCAACGAAATCGAAGGTCAGGCTTGATGACTTTGCTATGGATCTAAGTTTCACTGCGGAGGGTGGTTAAAGCTAGGAGTAGGGTTAGAGGTCCATTCAAGAGCTTTAAGTGTTTTTTGGGTGGACGCTCATTATGGAAGTCCTTCCCAGTTTTCATCGCAGCAGTATCATTCAGTATTTAGGTAGAATTGAAGATCATTTTTTAAATCTTGAATCTACAAATAAAATTTTTTTTACCAGCATATCTGATGATTGTTGTAAATATAAATGAGCATTTGCCAAAAGGTGGGATACCTGGGTGTGACAAATGAGGTCCAAAATCAACTTTATGTAATAATTCTTTAATCACCCATATTATATAGCCTAATGATTGCTCTTTCAGACTCAGTAACTGCCAAAGCTGTATATGCAAGGGTCTTGGTGTAATTCTGACTTGAATGACGGAAATAGCAAAAAGTTCGTTCATAACAATGATGACACAAATTTATGAATACTCAAAGTTCCTTTCTTCAGCTAGGCTGATGTTATATTTTGAGACATAGCAAATAACTTCCAAAACTACATAGAATTGACAATTTATAAAAATCTTTATTAATTTTTGATAAAATTACTTTTTTGTGTCATAATAGTTATGAACGAACAATAAGTGACCAAAATACTATCAATTATATCAAGTTTCATCGACTAGAATTGTCTAAAATAACACTCAATTGACTAATTATAGTCAAGTGATAAATGAAAGACCATTAAACAGCTATTTTTAAACGCAGACTGGTCTTAGGGCATATTATGCATAAATTTAAAGTTCGTTCATAACCATTATGACACACTGTTTCGTTCATAACTATTATGACAAATTTTACTTTTGGCCCCTAAAATTTACTTATACTGTTCTGTCTTTCACATAAAACGGTTTTCATTTATGAGGCTTTCCTTAAAATGATAGATTCCTCTATGTAGGGAGAATTCAAAGTTTATATTTCCTGAAAAACCCTTAGAATACCTTTAAAATGGTTCGTTCATAACAATTATGACAAACTTCAATTTTGACCTAAAAATTTACTCATTTTGATCTGTCATTCATTTTTTTAAACTTTTATTAAATGAAACTCTCCTCATAATATGTATCTCTGTACATGTTTTTAAAGTTTGTTAACACTGAAAAGCCCTCAAAATATATAAAATGGACTATAAATAGTTCGTTCATAACCATTACTACAAAAGTATAATACTAATTAAAATCCACACCCATACACTTATGATAAAAATAAAAATATCAGAATGTATGCAAGGTCTATTCTGTCCTTTAGTTGGGTTAAAATTAAAAATACACCCCAAAACAACTGTAAATTACATGGAATTAGGTTTCGTTCATAACCGTTATGACACACTGTTTCGTTCATAACTATTATGACAAATTTTACTTTGGGCCCAAAAAATTAACTTATTGTTCTGTCATTCACATAAAATTGTTTTAATTTATGAGACTCTCCTCAAAATAAGTTATATGTTGGAAGAATTCAAAGTTTAATCACTGAAAAACCCTTAGAATACCTTTAATTGTTCGTTCATAACTATTATGACAAACTTCAGTTTTGACCTAAAAATTAACATTTTGACCTGTCATTTACTTTAAAATTTCATATTAAATGAAAGTTTCCTCATAATATGTATCTGTGTACATGTTTTTAATGTTTATCAACTCTGTAAAGCCCTCAGAGTACAATATGTAGTTCGTTCATAACCATTACTACAAAAGTAAAATACTAATTAAAATCCAGACCCATACACTTATCATAAAAATCAAAATATCAGAATATAAGCAAGGTCTGATACATCCTCAAGTTGGGTTAAAATTAAAAATACATCCCAAAACAACTGTAAATTACATGGAATAAGGTTTCGTTCATAATCATTATGACACACTGTCACGTTCATAACATGATGACAATCCATTATGACAAGCATATTTTTGCCTCTCCTTCGCTTCTCTTTTGAGTCATCAGCACGATACTCTTCCATGTTCATTCCACCATGTAAAAGGATGTTGTGAAACAGTGGGAAGTCCCTCACATGATATTTTGCGGAAATATCATAAAGTGTTTGTTCATAACATCATTATGACAAACCTGGATTATCTCAATCAAAGTCATATTTAAGCAAAACCATGCGATGGAGTGGAAAATTACCCTTCTGATGGATCAATGTCAAACCAATATTTAATACCGGTCATTTCCCGGGATGATATGTTTAACGATTTGGGTTTTCTAGACCTTGGAAAGTCTGATGATGTAATTATGACACGAGTTATGAACGAACTTATAAATTTTACTCAGCAATAACATCATTAATATAAAAAAATAAAACCCTTTTAATGGACACACGCTGTTATGATGGTGTATACAAACTATTTTCAATGTTTGAATGCACTACTGTTTGATAGTTTAAGATTAACAATATTCTGTATTTAACATACAATTACGTGTGCACTCAGGATGAGTAAAAAATGCCCTATTTTTAGTACTATTATCTTTCTATGTAGAGATATAAGATGCACACATCAATCCACTTGCTCATGCAGCTTGACCAACTTATTTCCTTGCCATATGCATAAAGTTTTCAGAAGAAAACATATTTTACCATGAGTAGTGGTTGATTAAAAAAGTCCTCATGCAAACACCCCCACCTTTTGGCAAAAGCTCAAATATATATCATATTATATTCCTCCCATTCACATAGAGATTTTTGTAAGGCAAAGGGTCATTTCACTGTTTAAAAGAGGCCTGGTGACATATGTGTCCCTACCGGTCAATATCAGTCACATATGAAGGAAATTTGAAAACTGAGTTAACATTATTTTCAAAAACTATCTCCTTTTCTCTACAATTTAAAACAAGAATGAAGTAAATATGACCATATTTGAAGAAAATGCAGAACTTTTAATTGTGCGAGGTGAGAAAACACGAAAGGGAGAAAATGGCCTTCGAAGTTGAGCAATATGTTTCCTTAGCAATGAGGGCTCTTAGAATTGAGGTAGAGACTTGAAATTTAGCAGTTATCTTGGCAATGTGACAGCAAGGTAGCATACTGAAGTAGAAAACTATTCATTACAGAGAAAAAAACTTATGGACAAAACATTTTCACGAGAATGGACTTCACATGAAATGCAACAAAATATTAGCATATTAATACAAGGTATCAGATACTAAATTTTCAAAATAGCTGTATGTCAAATTCATCTGTTTCATATGAAAGGCCTGTGTCTCCTGAGAATTTTGGTACCATACTTTTACCTCTAAGTCAATATTTAAGAGAGTGGCAGCTGTTTCAATTTAACATAATCAAATTTTTGCTGAAGTCATTAACTGGCTGCAACCCCATGTTTGACTGATAATAAAAGAGTACCAAGGAACCAAACATCTCTACATTAACAGAGTACAATCATTATGACAAAGAAATGAAGCCTAATTTTTTTCAGACTGTGAGATCATTACAAATAAGTATTTTATTGCCTCAAACACGATGATCTGTCGTTATTTCAATAAAAACACCGAGCGTTGTCTCGGCCAGTGCCGCACCAGCCATCGTGGGGAGCGAGCGGCTAAATGCTGTAGTGTGCTGAGTGCTCCCGGTAGTTTCAGGGAAGGATTCGTGCAAAATAATTCCAAGTCGATGACTTTATATCTAATCTAATAGAAAAAGAGCTGTTCTTTCTATTGGTACTTTTTTTTCAGCCGGTATTTTACACTTTTCGGGTTAAAAATGATCTGTGAAAGCTTAGACGCTTTTTTTTTCAAGGTTTCTATCCAAACGCCAAAGGCCAAAAATAGTAACCACGGGAAACCACGTTTAAAAGATGTATAGTTCTCCGTCGATGAAAAGACAGTATTTAATCATCAATCTGTGTGCAAAGCATTCAAATGCATGGGTGTCAATTTTGAACCGACCCTCCTTGCCTTCCGACCACGAGGGGCTTCCCTTTCCAGGGCGATTCTCCAGCTCATACTCGGATTATAATATACAAATAACTTACACAGTTGTAAAGAAGGAAATCTGAACTTTTTCAGAGTGGTCAGTATTTGGTGTTTATAGAAAAAGAGCAAAGAAACAGATATCTGAATTACCCCCATTTTACCGAAACCACTCACTCGGAAGGCAGCGAGTCGGTTTACGTGCAGTGTTTGCACTACCTAACATTGCAATAGCATCATAAACACACGAGAGCACTCAAACGCACGCACACACACTCAAATGCACACACACACAACACACACAGGCACATACACACTCATACAAACACACCAACACACATACACATAGACCGCCTCGCTGGCCTCTTGGTAAAGAGTCCGCTTTGAGAGATTTAGAGGAAGGTTAATTAATCTTTTAAAAGCACTAAAACACAAGAAAAACCAATTTTTAAGTCAGCCAAAGTGTAAGACTGAAAGATCAACAGACGATAACAGCTAGCAGGGCACGCCCACACAGTCAGCTGTTTAAGTAAACAAGCTTGAAGTGAGCCAGAAGTCATCGTTTTTACTCCATTTACCAATCAGAGTAGTCTACATTTCAGACCATTCATGCTCGAAAGGGGGTCAAAATCTTTTTTAAAAGTTGCGAATGAAGAACATTGAAGCAAAGATACTCCAATATGGAGTATCTTTGGTTGAAGCAAAGGTGGCACTGAGGTAATGGTTCTAAAAATAATCTCACAGCTACACACTAGCAAGGTCCAAATTCCTTTATCTCGTCACCCAGGCTCACAACAAACCACACTTGCCTCCAAAATAAATCAAAATAAAATATTTATAGTTGATTAGAATTTATTCTTATCTTATATGAAGCTCAAGACATCAAACTTTCAACCAAAAAACAAAAATTTCATGGAAAGTCACTTTTTTGTCTTTCGAGCTTCTTAGTTCATAATAGCATACTGCGTCTTACGACTGATATTGAGCGGGGCAGACAGATACATGCATCCTTGCCTGACTCCACCTTTAATCTGCATATTTGCTGCTCTCCCCCTCAATAATTCTTTCAGCACAATCTGTTTGTCCCGGTACAAATATTATTATTCCAATGATATTAAAATTCCTCTTCCATCAGCTCTTCTAAAATCTTATTTTACAACTGTATCAAAAGCCTTTAAATAATCAATGAAGCATGAAACAGATCTTTGTGTGTTTCAGATTAAGACAAGATAATGGTGAAGACTTTTATATTGAAAATGGTTTTTCACTTTCTCTTTCAGTCATAAAATGTTAGCAGCAAAGGTCTCGACAAGCACATGGTTTGTCCTGCTACTATGGTGTGCCAGTACGATCATACATGCGCAAGAACAAAGACTCAATGTGAAATGCATGGATCAGTGCACGTAAGTAATGATAATAATATTAATAAATAGGATTTGTATAGTGCATGTCCACGCTTGACTGCAAGCTTTATCATACTTTATGCACTTTACACTATATAAATATTTTTACCCCAGCAGACCATAGACCACTCAAAAACATTCTCAGCTTCCCAAGAAGCATACAGTGCAAACAGCTGATTAAGCGCTCAAACACTCTAACAAAGTACAAATGAAAGGAGTGATGGCGTGTACAGGCCCATTATTTTACACAGATTTATAAGAAGTGATGGCGTGTACAAGCCCATTATTTTACACAGATTTATAAGGAGTGATGGCGTGTACAGGCCCATTATTTTACACAGAGATTTATAAGGAGTGATGGCATGTACAGGCCCATTATTTTACACAGAGATTTATAAGGGGTGATGGCGCGTACAGGCCCGTATTTTACACAGAGATTTATAAGGGGTGATGGCGCGTACAGGCCCGTATTTTACACAGAGATAAAGGAGTGATGGTGTGTGTGTACAGGCCCATAGTTTACAAAGGGATAAAGGAGTGATCGCGTGTGCAGGTCCATATTTTACTCAGGGATGTCTGGGTTTTCTCCCTCCAACATGCTGTAACTACACTTGCCTCCCTCTCTTTCTGCAGCTATTCATTATATTGTGACCTTTTAACTTGCTTCTGTCTGTACATTTCACCATCATGTAAAAGATGCTTAAGGTGTAGACATTAATTATATATATATAATTAGCCGATAGCCACCTGGGACATGGGTGGTTTTCATATTAGGGCCACTCCATGAAAAATGAAACTGCAGCAGTGACACACTTAGCAGAGCGATGACATGCTAAAAACATTCTAAGCTTTCTTTCTTTTTTTCTTTTTAGGTGTTAGAGGCAACCTTCAT